TATATTTCTCTTCACTCAATACCACCGTTTTACAGTTCTTTTCCTTCTCTCTATTTATTTTCTTTTTTATCTCTTAGCAACTGGACTTGCAGTAAAATAGATAAAAACTGTCTGTTTTTTGATGCTACCATATGTATTATGACGCTATATTACAGTTAGTGTTGGTGATGAAAAGAAAAGATCTTGTATATGATTAAATTGTTTAGGATTTCATGGGAACTTGCAAAACAAGTTGACGGAGGTACCGTGGTATATTCGGGTGAGAACCGATATGTAGCAGCTGTCTACAGTGATCCTCATACCAATAGTGAATATCTTGGCAACAGTTTGTGGGATCAGCGAAGCATCGAATTTGTTCACAGTGGTCGTGACACAGCAGATGTTGTTGACAACGGTAACGACAACACTTTTGAACGATACGTATATCTTTTGACCAAACAGCGATGTAACTGTCAATGTTGAAAAAATGTTGCCAATTTACATATGTGTGTATATATATATTCGTATATATAACTGCTGTCTGGAAAAATTTTATAGACATTATTACCAATGGCATATCACTTCGATCTCTGTTTCCTTCACTCCTCTGACCTTTTTTCTTACCTTAAGAATTAGAGCTTTTTGTCCTGTTTTTTTTAATTTATATTTCAAATCTTTTTTTTTTTTAACAGTGACGGGTCTTATAGGCTAACGTATTAAAGTATTATATTAGTAAATTTAGGTGGATATGATGATTGCTGAGAAAAATCTATTAACTTTTTTTGTATTTCAATCTGGAACTAACTTGTTAAGATCGTTCAACTTCCACCAATTTTTTTTTTGAACCCCTATCTTTGTCACTGATCTTTCTTTATTTCTAAGGCGCTCAATAAGAATAGGTGACAAATGAAACTTTTCACAAATTTTTGTTTACTGAAGAATATCCTGTAGGTTCCAAAACCATGAACTTTTACTTCACTTGTGATAATTCAACTTAACTTTAGTTGAATGCTGTTCTTTTATCATAATTACAGCATTTTGAACCCATCATGCATATGCAAATGTGATAATTACTGTTACTATTGAACCCTCATGCAAAAAACTAAAATACAAACTACACGACCACAATTCGTCTCATGGATTTTCATCTTCCTGTGGCACTCAGCAAGTATTTCGTCCATGCCTTTGTATTTTCACTGTCTAAATCCCATAAACTTTCCAACACGCGTTTAAAGTCAAGAAGAAAGTTGCTCTATATTTACCTTCGACAACAGATGAAAAGAGGTTTATAATAAAGTCAAATTACTTTAAAAAACACATCTTTTTTCTATCAAAAACTGCAGAAAGGTGTAGCCTATCATTTTAATAAAATATTCCAATAAAAACAGTCCTCTAGTATGTCAATTAAGTGAGTCTGGTTAATAACATTTCATGGTAGTGCCTTGTGTAACAAATGAAAATTTGAGCTGATTCAAAAGAAGTCTACAATAAAGGGCATAGGAGCGATAACTGAAAACAGACTAGTGCTTATTCGAGACAAGAAATAAAATGAAATTTTAGAGCATAAGAAAAGCGCGAATAAATGAGTGCAAGAGATAATCTGCTAAAAACTTCTGTTTTTAAACTTCCATTCAAATGGGCTACTACAGTCTGACCAAGATTTTATATATCCGGCGTGTCTAAAAATATTTTTGAATTCTGCTGAACCGTTCTCCTTTTTTCGTTCTGAGAACGAATCCAGTAAAATACAGAGCAAAAGATGCGTTACTCGCTGTGGCTATATTTGGTTAAACTAAACAGCGTTTAGGCTAAATACCAGTAATAATTAGCGACGAAAAATGTTGCCGTAAACTTGGCAATTTAGTCTAATCTTGGTGCCGCAAAATAAAAATATAACGAATTAGTCAGCTAACGACAGTCACTCTAACGACCGTACGTAAAGAGATGAAGTTTATAGAAAGTAGCCTTGTAAAAGGACGCTTTTGGGATAGATAGAAGTTCATGTCATATTGCAGTGAACATAAAAATAGCCTCATATGGTCTAGTCACTGTTTGTACATTCACCTCAGTTGTTCAACTATCCCTCTGATCAATTTCCGAATTCGTTTATTCTCTGCCACAGGTAGCTTCAGGGTTCCCCTAGTCTCGAATTTAGTTAATTTGTTCGTTTGTTCTTCCACATGTATTGTATCATTTCTCAACTGTATTACAGGTTAAAATCTAGTTGGTAGTTTAACATGGCTATCAGCTGAGAAATCTCTCGGGATTGTTTTTTGAAGTTCTTTTCCAGTTATAATTATATCAAGTTGAGTCTTACCGTTGCGTCAGATATAATAATTGACGAAGATCATGCTATAAACGACTGAAGTAAGATAAGCAGTTGTCATACAAACAACCTATCGCTATGAAATTCTATCACTACCTAGAGTAATCAGTACCACATAACTTCGTCCTGGTCATCCTCCGTCGGGCTCATTTTTCGTTAACTATCATTAAATTAGCCTTCAGTCAGTCCTCAGTAAAGCTATTCAGTATAATCCTATCAAAGTCATCGGTATCGTAAGCCAGTAAGCGACTAATCGCTACTTACAGTGAAAACGTTTCAAAGACTTCCCTGAAACGTGTTGAGGAGGTGTTACAGTAGACGTTCTCCGGATTGCAAAATTTGTTGATTAGTAGCAACAACCACCCACCGAGCGCTCCAGCTAAAGCGGTGTGAGAACCTAAAATGCTCAGCCAGCCGGCCCGGAAACCTCGTGGAAACGCAGCCGTTTTTCATCACTGAGCCAGTTCAAAATTGTGTTTCAAGCAGCAGACCACCGGGCTCGCGTTGAGGTCAAAAACTGCCCTGAATTTGAACAGTTTAACTGGACAGCTGTTTCAGTGTCGCTAAATATGAAGGGACTGTTTGCTACTACTAGATTTGGGCCATTGGTGCTGCGGAGAATATGGCTCAAAGGCCGATCTTATCGTTCTTTCTAGCATTTTCGACTTTGCGATAAAGTTTGACAGAATGGTGCAAAAATGAAGCTGCTCTTCTTAGTTGCTCAGTCACCGAAATTTTTTAATTGCTCTTTTTACCCGCTTGGCAGGCGTGATCTTTCTATGACTAAATCGTTATTTGGGGTCGTCTTTTTGTAAGAGTGCGGTTATTAAAACCGCTACCTTTTCCTAGCTAGAGGCTGCAGGCCCGTTGTTGCTGTATTCATCGAATAGGAAACTTTACAGCTTAAATCTCCCATCATATCTTCTTCTTGTAGAAGAAGGATTGATTTCTCTGCGGTACGCACTGCTGCGCGTTTTAAAGGCAAGAAATCCGGCTAACGTTTTCTTTACGTTGTTTATCACATATTTAAAGTCAGAGGGAGTTCTGCAAATATGTATCTGTTGGGGCTGACTACTTTTGATAAGCATAACGTGATGACACGTTAAGTGAAACTTTGAAAAAAAAATCTTCCAGTGGAAGCCCTGCTTGTCGGAAAAGCTTTTTAATTGTGTGGCGCAGCATACGTCATTTTATTCTTTAACGCTTAATAAAAATTGCAGCTAAAGTTAATATGAATTAAATGCTGTGATCAGAGGAAAATTACAAGTGTGTAAGTGACTATGGGAGATTCGCTCCAAGTAAAAGTGATGATGGAAAAGGGTAGACGGAGCACTTTACTGATTGTACTTGCATTCACTTGAGCATTTAACAGCTGCAAAAACTATGAAAGTTCTCAGTTTCTACGCAACATGTCGTTTAACAAGGAATTTCTAGTGCTCCATATGACTGCATTTTAAAATGCTCAAAGTTAAATCCACTCAACCGTTGTGCTGCAGTAATGCTTAGAAAGTTGAGGAACATAACAAAGGTTACAAGTAACAGAAACCTTGACTTTCAAGGGAAAATTGTTAAATATTTTCAAGAATATAAACCTACTTTCATAGTTTTTTGAAGTGTAATCAATGTTTTCAAATTCAAGATAGAAGTTAGCAACTTATCTAAAATTCATCATTTGAAGTCCTCAATGGCAGTTTTGAGTACCGTGGCTTACAGAGGTGTGTGCAACAACTGTTGCTTTGTTTGCAGTCAGTCCGTATACCTTACGGGACAAATGTGGTTATCGTTGAGTCTGTGCAGAAGTTTCTGCAATTGAGGTATCTGTGCTACGGACTACTTTATGGCATATATCTGAATAGACTTTTTACAGTATGATAAATGACTGCTCTAAGCCAGTCGCAGTGACTGCTGACCAAAACTTTTCTGGCCTGTTTTTTTATATTTTTAAAAGATACAGTTTTTTTTTACCTTATTTCTTCCAAGTGATAATGGTTTGTCAAAAATATGTGAAAAAACTAGGCAACATTTTGGTACTGTTGATAGAAGGAAGGTTCTTGAGTAATGTTAATTTATGAGACCATGTGGTAAATCTGTATGGGTTTTCTGTTCACCCGACGACAGTGTGTCTGTGACAAGAAGAAGCAAAAAAAAAAGATATAGCTTTTTTGATACATATGTAAATACATGTGAAAGATTTTATGTATACAGAAACTTTTCAGAAAAGAAAGAAGTTTTTTTTTTTTTTTCTGAGAAAAAAAAACAGATATCGATGTACACGGTAAATAAAGCAAACCGTTAAAATTGAAAAAAAAAAAAAAAAAAGAAACTGGGAAGAAAAGAGTTGTTGTGTGTTCGACGAAGCTTCTGTTGGCTCTATACTACAGAACAATGAATTGTTCGGTTTCATCGTTTTGATTGAAACCATTACATCATTCAGTTTTTTTTTTTTGTTGGTTTAAAA